TGCACCGAATAAATATTTATTTACACGTAGACTGTTTATAGTTGCCAGTAGTATTGGATTGATTTTAATGCCACGTCCTGTTTTGGGGTCACTTAGAGGGTAAGGTCAAATTGGCCTCGAAGAAGCTCGGTGTGTTGAACAGATCGAGGCAGTATTTCACTCCGGCCTACCGCCTTCAGCTCTATAAGGCGCAAGTCCGGCCGCATATGGAATACTGTTCTCATCTCTATGCAGGGACACCTCAGTATCAGCTTCTCCCTCTGAACCGCTTCCAACGAAGAGCGACTCGAATCGTCGATAGACCAAACGTCTCCGATCGGCTCGATCCCTTGGCGTTACGTAGAGATGTGGCTTCACTCTGCTTTACCGCATATATCACGGAGAGTGCTCCGAGGAATTATTCGGACTAATACCAGCCGCAACTTTCCGCCATCATTCCACACGGCAAAATTTTCATCCTCATCACCTGGATAGTTGGCGCTCCACTACTGTGCGCTTTTTGCTCTGCACAACCAATCTGTGGAACGGGTTATCGTCTGCGGTATTTTCGGATCGATACGACCTGCAAACCTTCAAGAAAAGAGCGTGCTCCTTCCTAAAAGTCCGGCAACGCGTTTGTGACTCCTGAGTTGCAGACGTTCATGGGCGGCGGTGATCACTTTCCATCTGGTGACCCGTCTTCTCGTCTGCCCCCCTCTAATATAAAACAAAAAAAAACGTGATAATTCGCATGCAGGCAGCAGAGCGAACATGGCGGCGGAGTGGGGCACTCTCTCCATGCTTGTTGCTTACTAGGAAAAAATCGCGTATCTTCTTTACGTTTTCACGGCTCTGTCATGCAACTGTGTGATTTAAAATTTTGCATATTGTAGAGACAAGATTTGGCAACTCTTTTTTATTTTCGTGGGATGCTTTCTTACCGAAAAACTATTTTATATTATTTTTATTTATAATAATTGTGTGAAAGATTAATATTATTTTGCTACCAACATTTTTTTTACAAAAAAGTATTAAAAGCTATAATTGACGCCCCGAGCAGATTTCCTAGGAATTGTGTGATTCGTAGGAAATCTGAGAAAACGAAGCGCGAAAAAACAAGATTTTTTGAGATAAAAGCTTGTTTTCTCGGAAACTGTCTTAATTAACTAAGGTAATATTTTTTTTTACTAAGGTAATATTTTATTTATACAGATCTTTATACACATATATGTAACAAAATCTATTTCAAATACTTTAATCACTGCCTGCCTGAACTAGAATAAACCTGTGTTTCAGGCGATCGCTTGACTTAGAGTATTAAACAAACTTTATTTAGATATTAATGTCCAGAATAATAAATACGTAATAATATGTATATAATACGTAACAATAACAGAATAATAATGAACATAAAAATACTTTCAAAAGCAATTCACAAACATACGTAATAATAATTTCTAACATATTTTATGTTTCCGCATAATTTAAGTTTCTTATAGTTCTAAGCTAGATATATTTAGTATCTTATTAATTTTATTATATAAGAAAGATCCTAAGAATAAAGAAAATGTCTTAACAAACACTACAAATATTTTGATTATTAGGTATAATGAGTTATTCGTGCCAGTAAATTGTCAGTAGTCGGCACATATTCTCTTCGACTTCACAATATTTAACTTAGACAGAAAAATGATCTAGGCCACAGAGCTACTGATTAGTCATTCCATATTAGATAGGTTTAAGTGCTTACGCTAAAATAATCAATTACGCTCTTAGACGCCCTCATAGTCTATAGAATTTAAATATTTATCCTCAGCATATTTCCGAGCTGGCAAGTTGCATCACCAGTTTGGTGATCACTTTTCCGTTTGAACCTTTTGCACGTCGCACAAGTAGGTGGTGTAGATTTGTCGTTGCAATCCTTAAAGGAGTGCCCGGACTCTCCACAGTGATTACAGGTTGGGCTTGTTTCACGGCAATATTTAGCTGCATGTCCAAACTGCTGGCAGTTAAAGCACCTGGTCACCAGCGTGAAGTCTCTAACGGGACAGGAAGTCCAATTTATGTAAATTCTGCCTTGATTTATGAGCGCTTTTCTAATATGAGCCGGTACCTCAAGAATATAATTACAGATAGGAAGGCTTTTTTTACCTGATTTGTGGCTAAGTTTGATGGTATTCCGACAGGACTCACGAGAAGCGTCAGGAAACTTGTCTGCTAAATTCTGCTCATAGATGCACTCAAGCACCTCCTTTTCAGTCAGGGCGACGGGTACACCTACGACAGTAATTCTTGGTTTGCGTTTTGCAGGTTCTTCGACTTTAAGGATTGATGACGCTAATTTCTTTGACTGCCTCAATTTCTCAATGTCTAATTTAGATTCGGCACTAATAATAACACCCCCATTACTCACTTTTCTAAGGCCTCTAACATGAAGTTTTAGTTCCTCGAGTGAAATTATTTTTTGGACTAGAGACTTAGTATCTTCACTAGTCTTGGTCTTGTCGCTAGGATAGATGGCAAGGGTACTAATATTGCTCGGACGAACGAACTTATTTGGACCTTTTTTTACCATATCCGCAAAAGAGCTATGTTCCTGTGGTCTCAGCTTTTCTTCAACAACTGTTTTGAATCGATTTAGGGAGCTCGCAACATCTTTAGTTTCCTGTAGGTGCTGTATGGTGGTATGCGCAAGGATAGTCTTCTGCTTTAATGATTGATATAATACGGCCATTTGAGATGTGCCAGATCCGATCTTACGGCAAGTATTTGTGACACGCATCTTCTGATCCGTGTTCATTTTGCCCTCCGTCACTATAGAGCAAACCTCATCTAACAGGGCATCAATGCTTGACATCCATTTCTGGATCTCTGGCGTCTGTATTACCTCGCTAGGTAAATAATTGTTCTTGGGCAAGGGCGGTTCTTCAACAATAGGCTGATGTTGCCGTGTTGGCGTCGGTGGAGGACTCCTCCGTATTAAGTGGCTACGGCCCAACGGGCTTGATCCTGGGTTAGACATAGTCACTAACACATATAAACTTTTTATAACTATGCTTATAAGTCAAAGATTCTTTTAGATCATGCTAAATACACAGTTTGTAAACAATAGGCATGAATCACTCTCGCTCGTGACACACTTAGCGGAAACTACTTACACTACAAAATAATTCTTTATTAGAAATTATATATGATTTCTATTTTATGCATTTTGTCGGATTTCAAAAAAAACACGTCTGCTTAGTCAAGAGGTCAACAACAATCTTTTTGATTCAAAAATTGTCTTAACTCCAGCAATTCTCATTTTCTTGGTTTCTCAAACTTACAACCTAGTCCAGTCAATGAAAGCTTAACTTTGCCATTTTGAGTTGATGACCTGCAACCAACGCGAAAATTTCCGTAAGGGTTCGTAGATTAATATACAAAAATTGCAGGGTGCTGCATTGCATCTTTTAAACAATACTGATGAGTCAACTGCAGTGAAATTAGTATGATTGATCATTCCTTTTTTAGCAGCAGCTAATGTTTTCACTTTATAGAGTTTTGAAAGTGACACCTCGTCAACTGTTTTTCCTAACATCGACTTTATCCCTTCTTCCCCTTTCTCAAACGCATTATGACAAGTTATACCAAAACCTCCAATAACTCCAGTTGATAATGAAATCAAGTGATCACGTCATTGTTTGATTAAAATGGGTACATGAGGAAAAGTAATAAAGCTGATTTATATAAAATATTTACGCCATTCATTCATCAACAGTATTTCTAGATAATGCATATACGTTATTGATGGAGGCTGGCTACTACATCAAGTTCACTGGAATAATAAAGATACTTTCCGAGTTATCTGTCAAAAATATTTTTCATATATTAAAAAACATTTAAGACTTATGAAAGACTAAGATTATTGTATGAAAAAAGGAAAAAATAAATAAAACAATGTCCGAAACATATTTATTAAATCTCAATGAAGCATGTAGGATCGTTTTAAAATAAAAAAAAATGATTAACAATATATAACATCTTTTTTTTAATTTTGCACCTTTAAATGCATTTTGTGCAAAAACTATGGGAGATACGCGAAAATACGTTGATACCTTTTTTGTAAGAAATTTAATTTTCTACAAAGTTGTACAAAATTAAATTTCCTACAAAAAAGGTAGGTGCTTGTTAGGAATTTAATCTATTTTCCCAGCCAGTCGTGAGATATTGACGAAAAAGTCGTTTTTGCACCATTTTGCAATTTTTTTGCACCCCTTGCCGTCAATGCACCCTGCAATTTTAGTATATTAACCTTACGGAAATGTCCGCGTTGGTCACAGGTCATCAACTCAAAATGGCAAAGTTAAGCTTTCATTGACTGGACTAACCCAACTTACAACCTCCTATTTTTTGTTTTTCCGTTAAAATTGGTTATCGGTGTTTTGTTTTCAATAAACCGTTTTATCGCATTGATTGATTGATTTGATTTTTTAATAACTTGCCACGAACCGATTTTTGCCCACTTTTTTAAAAAGCTAATACTTTTACCCAAATTATCAGATTGAAAAACAAGCCAGTTTTTTTTACTGTACTTACTCAGCCTGTACTATTGTGAACATTTTACATTACGCTAGGGATGAACGGTCGCCTCACTCGCGTTTTCCAAGTCTTTAATACTTTTATGTTTAAAAAAACTTTCATGAGACTAAATATGATGAAACTAAATACTGGACATCAAGTTATAAAGATAGAAAAAGTAACAAAATGTATTCGAGTCTAAAGATACTGTCACTTCAAAAGTAGAATCAATGTCACTCGTTTATGTCAAGACAATATATTTAAGAAAACTTTGTTTTAAAAGTTATACGGAAATGCTTCATTTAAAATTTAAATTATTACATATTCCCATGAAACAAGTGCGCCAATTTACAGTCCAGGCGCCATTATGTGGACATAGGTGGTATCCAGACGAAACTTACGTAAAAAAATTTAGTGGAGTGGTGATGTATCCCACGCCGGAGGCCAACAAATATTTCAGAATGATTTATAATGCGAAACTAAAGCCTGTCGAACGCAAACTGCAAAATATGTATATTAATTTTGGTCCTCAACACCCAGCTGCGCATGGCGTCCTTCGCCTTATACTAGAATTAGATGGTGAAACAGTAGTGCGTGCCGATCCTCACATAGGTTTTTTACACAGAGCTACCGAGAAGTTAATGGAGTATAAACATTACAATCAAAATCTACCATTCATGGACCGACTCGATTACGTTTCTACATTGGCAAATGAACAGGGGTTCTGTATAGCTGTTGAAAAACTTCTTAATATAGAACCACCACCGCGAGCAAAAGCAGTCAGGGTCCTGTGTAGTGAATTGTCTCGAATCGCCAATCACATGCTTAATGTGTCAGGAACTATACTTGATGCAGGTGGCATAACGCCTTTCTTTTGGATGTGCGAGGAACGCGAAAAGCTTTATGAGATGTTTGAGAGACTGTGTGGTTCCAGGGTACACTGTGCCTATCTTAGGCCTGGGGGAATCTCCCAGGATATACCAATTGGGTTCCTGGACGATATACACGAACTCTGCAGTAAATTAAGAGAACGTTACGATGAAACAGAAGAAATTGCAACGTCAAATCGATTATATTATGCCAGATGTTTTGGAATCGGTGTAGTAACTGCACACGATGCCCTTAGCTTAGGTTTTACAGGACCTATGTTACGTTCAACTGGAGTGAAGTATGATATCAGGATTAACGCACCTTATGATGGATACGACATGTATGACTTTGATGGAGTTGTCGGTACCTTTGGTGATTGCTACGATCGTTACCTTGTTCGTTACGAAGAAATGCGTCAGTCCCTAAAGATTGTTGACCAAGTGATAAACACTATGCCCGAAGGTGAATATAAGACTGATGACGCTAAGATTTGTCTTCCACCTAGAAAGGAAATGAAAACATCCATGGAGTCCCTAATTCATCATTTTAAATTATGTACAGAAGGTTATCCAGTACCACCTGGAGCAACCTACACTGCGGTTGAATGTCCAAAGGGTGAGTTAGGATTATATATGGTGTCAGATGGTACTTCAGTACCATACCGATGCTATTTGAAGCCTTGTTCCTACACACATCTTCTAGGATTGAGCGTTTTATCGAAGAATTTAATGCTTGCTGACATATCTATCCTTATTGCGTCAATAGACGTTGTGTTTGGAGATGTTGATCGTTAATGTAAGCAGTTTAGATAATCAGATACGTTATTTTTAATGAATAGGTTTACTTCTAATATTTTACAAGCTTTTATTTAACTTGCAATGTACGTATGTATGTAACTATGTTTGCTCTATGGTGGAATCTTGCAACTCAATTTTGAAGCAGATATCTTCACCCGATTGAGTGGAAAATTTGTGTACCTACGTTTATTTTGCATGGCGGAACACCCATGATAGCGTACTAGCACTCGTACAATATGGGTATCAAATGAAAGGACTTGCTGAGAATACGAATGCGATATGCGATAACTAAAAAGTAAGAATTAAATTAAAAGTAAAAAAACCTTTTATTTAAATGCACTAAAAAGAATAAAATAAAATTTTCCTTTAAAACTTACACAATTTATAACATAAAAGCTTCTCCCAAGATTTACCTGTGTAGATAAACAAGTAATTACATAAACTTTATCTAAATGATTTTAATTTATAAAACTTTCAAACTAAGTAAATTCGAGTACCTACTTAAATCCTTTCATATCATATAAATTGTGTAATGACGTTATTAGTTGAGAGTAAAAGTTATAAAGGAAATCTAATTTTATTATTTTTAGTGCATTTAAATAAAAGCTTATTTTAAAAAGGTTTTTTTACTTTTAATTACTGAGTACTTTTTTATTTAAATGCCACAGAATTCGACTTTTAAAATGAATCGGTTAGGTAGACGCTTCGCACCAATCTTTATTCCGAGACGGCAAATAAATATTACTATAAGTGCTTAATATTATAGGGGGATGAGTTGACATTAGTATTCTGAGGATGTATGAATGCCGGGCAAGCTTATCCATTTTTAGAGTGATGGGGCTTTCTGGACCGCCACCATGGCCCCGAATTCTCCCTATAGATAGAATAATTATTTTTGACCAGTATATTGGGACCATTAATAACAAAAAATATGTCTTGGAAAAGCGTGGTCAACAAAAACATTTAAAATAACACAAAAAAAAACTATTTTTAAATAGAAATAAAATAGGTACTTCTTTTATTTCAAAAATGGCAGCCTTCTATTAGAATTAAACGTAAAAAAAGAACAAAAAATACTTATTACGAAATATAATTACTATAATTTTGAGTATTTAAACATTAATGTACAACAGTTTAATTTAAAAAAATCTGCTTATTATTGCTTAAGGAGGCTGTTATTTTAAAGGCTATTTTTGAAATGAAAGAGTTTTTTTATCGTGTTATTAAATAGTTTCATTTGTATAAATTCTAAATGTTTTTGTTGACCGTATTTTCCCAATACATCAATGCATATTTTGGTTTTTTATTAGTGGTCCCAATATACTAGTCAAAAGTAATTATTGTATCTATAGGTGGAACTTGGGAGCGCGGTTCCCGTCCCCAAGGCCCACGACCCATTTTTTTGACGTCCTTTAAACGTAAATGAAGAAGTTAAATAATAAAGATCTGATCAAATTGTATGAGCGTTGTATATCTTTGTATATTAAATATCTATTTGGCTTGAATATAATAGGATTTTAAAAAGAAAATTTAAAATACACATTTTCGAATTAAAATTTTGTTTTTTTATTTTTATGCAGACATTTTAGATTTTCCATAAACATTACCTTACACTACTTACTGTACCAACCTGTTACGTAAATTATTGGGTAGATGCCTGCGCTTAAAGTTTTATAATTTATTTAAGTACGTTGGGAATTGTAATAATAATTTAAAATGTGGTTTAGAAAATTTCGTCCGGTTTTATCGAATGTTTTGATTCATTTGTTTGTTTGTTGCGCGATTTCTCCCTCAATTTTAGCTCGATTTTCGTAATTATTTTTGTAATCGAAAGGGTATACACCCTTTTTTTTCCGTGCGGAAATCCCCTCGGATACCACCTATCGGTGGCATGTCGGACGAGGTAGTCCTATTGTCTCCATGAAGTCATCCATAAGAAATTGAAGGAGAACGTCTTTAAGGCTCGACAACGTGTTTTATTTTTTTCGCAAGCCATACAGGTATTTGCATTTGGTAGTATTATCTCATGTTGCTAAACTCTTAATAGAAGGGTCATTGACTTATAAGAGAGTTGGAGGAAAACTCTTTCAATAAAGTAATTACGCATTGACCTTTAGTTGTATTCTCTCAAGATATTTATTAGATGTTTGTATATTCCCTTTTACACAATAGTGTCAGTACACTTTTATACAGTACACCCATGACACTTTCAGTCAGTAGACTAAAAGTGTCATGGGCTTTTATCACATTTTCATTTATCATTAAACAATACATTTTCGTTACCCTCTACGGACACCATATTGATGGTGTCCGTAGAGGGTAACGAAAATGTATTGTCGCAATGTAAGGTATAGTATTTAAAGTAGTTGCTACAAAATATTTATTTGTAAAATATTCGTTTTATTATATATACGAGCATATTAGTGTGCGTTGGTTTCAACATCTCGACTTTTGTCGGTTTATAAATACCCCACGGGAAAAACGATATGTATGTCCCCATAATTTCAAAATTGATAAAGTTAACATATATAACATATAAACGGTGTGTATGAATAAATATATTATAATTTAATTTTTAATGTGTAGTTTCATTGTATGAGAGTAACCTAACTAGTGTGTGTCTGTTGTGTGGTGCGTGCATAGAAATCGTAATAATAAGACACTAGAAATGAATTAGCGCCCGATTACTCCGTGAACCAATGTCACCACATCTTAACACATACATAAAATACAAATAGATATAAGACTCGTACACACTTGCAAAACAACGGCGAAATGTCTAAGGCACAAACTATTATGTACCTTAATCACCCAGAATTACATTGCATTTTACTCCAATGTATTATGTAGCACCACTACAACCTCTTTCGATGTTTCAGAATCCCTGTAAATGATGAAATGCTAGGGATTGACTAAATTATTCGAAGGTGTAGATATTTAATTTAAGATTAAAAATGATTACAAGTAGTAATGAAAACCATAGATATTTACTTCTTCAAATATTTTAGGAGGAATGATACTTCCTGGCCGGAACTCCATCATGGGACCTGGAGGTGAGAGCCCTTGTGGCTCTGTATCGGTGGCGCAGGAGATGGCACGGATTCCTGAGTTTCGAGAAATCGAGGATCAGAAATCCTAGCTCCACCAGATCCTCGTGGAGGAGTGGAAGGGACGTCGTTATCGCGGCGGTAAGACCCTTTATGGAGGATTGGCTCGAGAGGCATCACGGTGATGCTTCAGAGATTACCTGTATCTGATCCGCAAGGAGCCAACGCCTGAGTGCCACATCTGTGATGGTCGGACCATGGACACGGCGCTTCACACGCTGGCAGAATGCTCAGCGCGGGTGGTGGCAAAGGCGCCTCGTGGCGGTCGTTGGAGTCTGAATTCTCTCGCTCGGTAACGTGGTTACCGCCATGGTACAGAGCGAGAGTGCGTAGAACTCTGGCGTCTCCTACTGCGAGCAAGTTATGCTTGCGAAGGAGATGGCGGAGCGGGACCAGGAGAGGTTCTAGAGTTTTCCGGTTCAAGAAAACTTCCGGGTTCCCACACAGGAGGGGTCATCTATAATCCGTAGATGGCCCGAGGTGGTCGGGGTAACAGGGCTTTCCTTTCTAGGGTAAACCTGGTTCCCGGCTACTGGTACCTGAAGACGGTGTGCCAGGTTGTGTTGTGTGACGTGCCGTTTTTGGTCGGTTCGAGTCCGACATAATCACTCACTGGTGGGTAGTATCCGAGAGGAGCTCCGCACAGAAAAAAAAGGAGGAATTATACTTATAAATGATGCGTATCTATTATTTAAAATCAAGGTATCTATTAACAGTCAAAATATTTTACTAATTAAATTTTTTGCTGTTGTACTAAAATGGCATTAAGTATGCTTGAATACCTTAAATTGCGTCTTTTAGCAGGGACATTAAAATCATCTTACTTAAAATAAACTGAACATATTCGACTATTTTCTGTAGGGAACCAGTCCAGTCTACCAGTAAAATTCATTCATTTTTCTTTAACATCAGGATCTTACGAGAATCTAGAAATTAATTATAATTAATTGATAATAATATTTCGTATTATTTATGCTTCCCAAAAAGATAACATTTTATTTACATTTATCAGCATGCTAAACATTTATAGACTAATATGCTAAGTTTTTATTTCAATTTCATGTACAATAATTAAATTTCAAATGCAATTATTGTACAATTAAGGATATTTTAATAAATATTTTAATGAATTAAGGATATTTTATGTGCATACATCGTTTAGTTTATTTACGTTCGAAAATCTGAAAAATATCTCTTTATACTAACATCGATATAAACTGTTCGTTGATTCAAATGAATGGTCCGGTTACAACGCCAACTGGCGACCGATGCCAGCAGCCGTATCATAAACATACACAATGAACAACGATATCTAATATTTCACATTACATTATTTGGCGAGTTTGTCAACATCGCGTGCAATAGGAACAAAAGCAGCAGTGGTAATTGTAAAAGCGGAAATTAATAATGAAAGTTTACAAAGGCAAAAATCTTAATAAAGTATTCTTCGAGATGTAAATTATTAAAAACAATGATTTATTAGTAAAAAATCAACTTACCGGTGAAATTACTATTAATCGTCTAGTACTATATTTCTTCGATAGCCCAAACATCTCCGATCGGCTCGATCCCTTGGCGTTACGTTGAGATGTGGCTTCACTCTGCATTCTCTATCGTATATATCATGGAGAGTGCCCCGAAGAATTGTTTGGACTAATACCACCCGCAACTTTCCGCCATCGTTCCGCACGTCAAAATTGACATCCTCATCACCTGGATAGTTGGCGCTCCACTACTGTGCGCTTTTCGAGACCCTTTTTGCTTCGCACAACCAATCTGTGGAACGGGTTATCGTCTGCGGTATTTCCGGATCGATACGATCTTCAAACCTTCAAGAAAAGAGCGTACTTCTTACTAAAAGGCCGGTAATGCGTTTGTGACTCCTGAGTC